CATGGCAACAACAAAACTGCCACCCACAACTACCACCATCATCACCACAAACAAGCCATCTACCACGAGTATCACAAAACCACCTTCTCCCACAACTACTGTGAAGCTGCCATCTACTTCTACAAAGCAGACTACTACAGAGCTTACAACCCAAGGAAATAAAGGTATTGCAACAACTCTGGGTGAGCATATTAGCTATTTCCCAAATCCCCATTCTGAGCATGTTATTTCATTCTTCAAAATTATTACCACAAAACCATTAGGTTTGCAAGCTAGTGTTGCTTCTACAACCAGTAGGATATCATTGCCTACTAAAACTGTGGTAACCATGAAAAAACATGAAAGTGCTATTTCTTCAAACCCCACACCTTCCTCACTTAAAGCAATAATAAGGCTGTCTAACAGAGATATTACTACTACTGTAGCGATGTCAAGAGATTATAAGAATGAACCTAACTTATATGACAAAGTTATAGCAACAATGAAAACAAGTACACAAATGGATGAAACTGATAAAAAAGGTATAACTACTGCAAGAAAAGAGACTATAGCAACAGATGTTAAACATACGAGCAGAAGAGCAGACACACCGCCAACAATTTTTGATGAACATGATAAAAGAGACAATTCAGAGAGAACTACTACAACAGAAACCACAAATAGACAGACTGGTCAAAGTAAGAAAAGTCATAAAAATGATACTCTAGAAAGAAATATTTCAGTCACAGAGACAACAAGGAAACCAACAAATTCAGATTATACAACTGGTCCAGATGGAATTGATAAAAATGATAATCTAGGTAGAACTTCTGCAGTGACAGAAGAAATAATTACATCAACTATTCTGAATGACAGAACCAGTCCCTCTGCATTGACAGAAACAGCAATTATGCCAACTACTCCAAATGAAAGAACTAGTCTTGATGCAGTTGATAAAAGTGACAATCCAGCCAGAACTTCTGCATTGACAGAAACAGCAATTACACAAACTGGACAGGATGAGTCCAGTCATAAAAGGGACAATCCAGTTAAAAGCATGTCTGTATCAGAGGCAACAATGTCATCAACTAATTTACATGAGACAACCAGACCTTATGTAGTTGATAAAAGTGACAATTCACACAGAACTACTGCAGTGAGAGAGGCCTCAATTACACAGACTGGTCCAGTTGGGACAAGTAATAAAAGTAACAATCCAGAAGCAAGCATTCCTGTCACAGAGACAGGAAGAACACCAACAAATACAGAATACACAACCAGTCCTGATGGAGTAGATAAAAGTGATAATCCAGACAAAACTTCTGCAGTGACAGAAACAACAGTTATCCCAATTACTGTTGACAGAACCAGTTCTAATGCAGTTGATAAAAGTAACAATCTGAACCAAACTAGTACAGTGACTGGAGCAACAACCACAAACTCTGATGAGACCAATCATACAACTGACAATCCAGAAACAAGCACTTCTGACACAGAGACAGCAAGGACACCAACAAATTCAGATTACACAAGTAGCCTTGGTATAATTGATAAAAGTGACAGTCTAGAGATAACTTCAGCAGTGACAGAAACAGCTATTACACAGACTGGTCAAGATGAGACCAGTCATAAGAGTGACAATCTAGAAATGAGCACGTCTATCACAGAGGCAACAATGTCACCAACAAATTCAGAATATACAACCAGTCCTGATGGAATTGATAAAAGCAACAATCCAGACAGAATGTCAGCAGTGACAGAAACAACAGTCATCCCAACCACTCTGAATGACAGATCCAGCCCCAATGGGCTTGATGAAAGTGATAATCCAGACAGAACCTCTGCATTGACAAAAGCCACAATCACAAAGTCTGGTCAAGATGAGACCACTCATAAAAGTGACAATCCAGAAAGAAGCACATCTGTCACAGAGGCAACAATGTCACCAACAAATTCACATGACACAACCAGCCCTGATGGAATTCATAAAAGTGACATTCCAGACACAACTTCAGCAGTGACAGAAACAGCCATTATACAGACTACTCAAGCTGAGACCAGTCATAAAACTGACAATGAAGAAACAGGTGTGTCTGTCACAGAGAGAACAATGGCACTAACACATTCAGATGTCATAACCAGTCCTGATGCAGTTGATAAAAATGACATTCCAGATAGAACCTCTACGGTGGCAGAAACAGCAATTACACAGACTGAACAAGATGAGTCCAGTCATAAAAGGGACAATCCAGATACAAGCATGTCTGTTACAGAGGCAACAATGTCACCAATAAATTCAGATATCACAATCAATCCTGAGAGAATTCATAAAACAGATAATCCAGACATAAATCTGCCAATGACAGAAACAGCAATTACACCGTCTACTCCAAATGAAAGAATTAGTCCTGATGCAGTTGATAAAAATGACAATCCAGAAAGAACTTCAGCAGTGAGAGAAACAGCAATTACACAGACTGCTCAAGATGAGACCAGTCATAAAACTGAAAATCAAGAAACAAGCACATCTGTCACAGAGATAACAATGTTACTAACACATTCAGATATCATAACCAGTCCTGATGCAGTTGATAAAAGTGACAATTCACACAGAACTAGTGCAGTGACAAAGGCTTCAATTACACAGACTGCTCCAGTTGAGACAACTCATAAAAATGACAATCCAGAAACAAACAATCCTGTCACAGGGACCAGAAGAATACCAACAAAATCAAGCTACACAATTGGTCCTGATGGAATTGAGAAAAGGAAAAATGCAGACAGAATGTCGGCAGTGACAGAAACAACAGTTATCCCAACTACTGTGAATGACGGAACCAGTCCCAATGGAGTTGATAAAAGTGACAATCCAGATCATACTACTGCAATGACAAGACCAACAATCACAAAGTCTGGTCAAGTTGAGACCAGTCACAAAACTGACAATCTAGAAACAAGCACAGCTGTCACAGAGGCAACAATGTCACCAACAAATTCAGAATACACAAGTCCTGATATAATTGATAAAAGTGAAAATCCAGAGAGAACTTCAGCAGTGACAGAAGCAGCCAATACACAGACTGGTCTAGACAACACCAGTCAAAAAAGTGACAATCTAGAAACAAGTGCTTCTGTCACAGAGACAGAAAGGACACCAACAAATTCAGGATATACAACTGCTCCTGATGTCAGTGATAAAAGTGACAATCCAGACAGAACTTCTGCAATTACAGTGACTTCAATCACAACATCTGGTGAAGGTGAGACGAGTCACCAAACAGGCAATCCAAAAACAAGCATTTCCATCACAGGGACAGCAAGGACACCAACAAATTCAGATGACACAACTGGTCCTGTTGCCACTGATAAAAGTGACCATCCAGATAGAACCTCTGCTGCGACAGAAATAGCAACTGCACCGACTGTTCTAGATGAGACAAGTCATAAAAGAGACAATACAAAAACAAGCACTCCTATCACAGAGGCAACAATGACTTCAACAAATTCAGATGACACAGCCAGTACTGATGGAATTGAGAAAACTGATATTCCAAACACAACAACTGCAATGACAAAAGCAACAGTCACACAGAGTGGTCAAGATGAGACCAATAATAAAAGTGACAATCCAGAAACAAGCATTTCTGTCACTGAGACAACAAGGGCACCAACAAATTCAGATGACACAACTGGTCCTGTTGCCACTGATAAAAGTGACAATCCAGATAGAACCTCTGCTGCGACAGAAATAGCAACTGCACAGACTGTTCTAGATGAGACAAGTAACAAACGAGACAATCCAGAAACAAGCTCTCCTATCACAGAGGCAACAATGGCTTCAACAAATTCAGACGACACAGCCAGTACTGATGGAATTGAAAACACTGATATTCCAGACACAACACCTGCAATGACAAAAGCAACAGTCACACAGAGTGGCCAAGATGAGACCAATAATAAAAGTGACAATCCAGAAACAAGCATTTCTGTCACTGAGACAGCAAGGGCACCAACAAATTCAGATGACACAAATGGTCCTGTTGCCACTGATAAAAGTGACAATCCAGACAGACCCTCTGCTGCGACTGCACAGACTGTTCTAGATGAGACAAGTCCCAAAAGAGACAATCCAGAAACAAGCACTCCTATCACAGAGGCAACAATGGCTTCAACAAATTCAGATGACACAGCCACTACTGATGGAATTGAGAACACTGATATTCCAGACACAACACCTGCAATGACAAAAGCAACAGTCACACAGAGTGGCCAAGATGAGACCAATAATAAAAGTGACAATCCAGAAACAAGCATTTCTGTCACTGAGACAGCAAGGGCACCAAAAAAGTCAGATGACACAACTGGTCCTGTTGCCACTGATAAAAGTGACAATCCAGACAGACCCTCTGCTGCGACTGCACAGACTGTTCTAGATGAGACAAGTCCCAAAAGAGACAATCCAGAAACAAGCACTCCTATCACAGAGCCAACAATGGCTTCAACAAATTCAGATGACACAGCCAGTACTGATGGAATTGAGAACACTGATATTCCAGACACAACAACTGCAATGACAAAAGCAACAGTCACACAGAGTGGCCAAGATGAGACCAATAATAAAAGTGACAATCCAGAAACAAGCATTTCTGTCACTGAGACAGCAAGGGCACCAACAAATTCAGATGACACAACTGGTCCTGTTGCCACTGATAAAAGTGACAATCCAGACAGACCCTCTGCTGCGACTGCACAGACTGTTCTAGATGAGACAAGTCCCAAAAGAGACAATCCAGAAACAAGCACTCCTATCACAGAGGCAACAATGGCTTCAACAAATTCAGATGACACAGCCACTACTGATGGAATTGAAAACACTGATATTCCAGACACAACACCTGCAATGACAAAAGCAACAGTCACACAGAGTGGCCAAGATGAGACCAATAATAAAAGTGACAATCCAGAAACAAGCATTTNTGAATGACAGAACCAGTCCCTCTGCATTGACAGAAACAGCAATTATGCCAACTACTCCAAATGAAAGAACTAGTCTTGATGCAGTTGATAAAAGTGACAATCCAGCCAGAACTTCTGCATTGACAGAAACAGCAATTACACAAACTGGACAGGATGAGTCCAGTCATAAAAGGGACAATCCAGTTAAAAGCATGTCTGTCTCAGAGGCAACAATGTCATCAACTAATTCACATGAGACAACCAGACCTTATGTAGTTGATAAAAGTGACAATTCACACAGAACTACTGCAGTGAGAGAGGCCTCAATTACACAGACTGGTCCAGTTGAGACAAGTAATAAAAGTAACAATCCAGAAGCAAGCATTCCTGTCACAGAGACAGGAAGAACACCAACAAATACAGAATACACAACCAGTCCTGATGGAGTAGATAAAAGTGATAATCCAGACAAAACTTCTGCAGTGACAGAAACAACAGTTATCCCAATTACTGTTGACAGAACCAGTTCTAATGCAGTTGATAAAAGTAACAATCTGAACCAAACTAGTACAGTGACTGGAGCAACAACCACAAACTCTGATGAGACCAATCATACAACTGACAATCCAGAAACAAGCACTTCTGACACAGAGACAGCAAGGACACCAACAAATTCAGATTACACAAGTAGCCCTGGTATAATTGATAAAAGTGACAATCTAGAGATAACTTCAGCAGTGACAGAAACAGCTATTACACAGACTGGTCAAGATGAGACCAGTCATAAGAGTGACAATCTAGAAATGAGCACGTCTATCACAGAGGCAACAATGTCACCAACAAATTCAGAATATACAACCAGTCCTGATGGAATTGATAAAAGGAACAATCCAGACAGAATGTCAGCAGTGACAGAAACAACAGTCATCCCAACCACTCTGAATGACAGATCCAGCCCCAATGGGCTTGATGAAAGTGATAATCCAGACAGAACCTCTGCATTGACAAAAGCCACAATCACAAAGTCTGGTCAAGATGAGACCACTCATAAAAGTGACAATCCAGAAAGAAGCACGTCTGTCACAGAGGCAACAATGTCACCAACAAATTCACATGACACAACCAGCCCTGATGGAATTCATAAAAGTGACATTCCAGACACAACTTCAGCAGTGACAGAAACAGCCATTATACAGACTATTCAAGATGAGACCAGTCATAAAACTGACAATCAAGAAACAGGTGTGTCTGTCACAGAGAGAACAATGGCACTAACACATTCAGATGTCATAACCAGTCCTGATGCAGTTGATAAAAGTGACATTCCAGATAGAACCTCTACGGTGGCAGAAACAGCAATTACACAGACTGAACAAGATGAGTCCAGTCATAAAAGGGACAATCCAGATACAAGCATGTCTGTTACAGAGGCAACAATGTCACCAATAAATTCAGATATCACAACCAATCCTGAGAGAATTCATAAAACAGATAATCCAGACACAAATCTGCCAATGACAGAAACAGCAATTACACCGTCTACTCCAAATGAAAGAATTAGTCCTGATGCAGTTGATAAAAATGACAATCCAGAAAGAACTTCAGCAGTGAGAGAAACAGCAATTACACAGACTGCTCAAGATGAGACGAGTCATAAAACTGAAAATCAAGAAACAAGCACATCTGTCACAGAGATAACAATGTTACTAACACATTCAGATATCATAACCAGTCCTGATGCAGTTGATAAAAGTGACAATTCACACAGAACTAGTGCAGTGACAAAGGCTTCAATTACACAGACTGCTCCAGTTGAGACAACTAATAAAAATGACAATCGAGAAACAAACAATCCTGTCACAGGGACCGGAAGAATACCAACAAAATCAAGCTACACAATTGGTCCTGATGGAATTGAGAAAAGGAACAATCCAGACAGAATGTCGGCAGTGACAGAAACAACAGTTATCCCAACTACTGTGAATGACGGAACCAGTCCCAATGGAGTTGATAAAAGTGACAATCCAGATCATACTACTGCAATGACAAGACCAACAATCACAAAGTCTGGTCAAGTTGAGACCAGTCACAAAACTGACAATCTAGAAACAAGCACAGCTGTCACAGAGGCAACAATGTCACCAACAAACTCAGAATACACAAGTCCTGATATAATTGATAAAAGTGAAAATCCAGAGAGAACTTCAGCAGTGACAGAAGCAGACAATACACAGATTGGTCAAGACAACACCAGTCATAAAAGCGACAATCTAGAAACAAGTGTTTCTGTCATAGAGAAAACAAAGACACCTACAAGTTCAGAATACACAACTGGTCCTGATGCAGTTACTAAAAGTGACAATCCAGAAAAAACCTCTGCAGTGACAGAAACAGCAGTTACACAGACTGGTGAAGATGAGATCAGTCAAAAAAGTGGCAATCTAGTAACAGGCACAGCTGTCACAGAGGCAACAATGTCACCAATAAATTCAGAAAACACAAGTCCTGATACAATTGATAAAAGTGAAAATCCAGAGAGAACTTCAGCAGTGACAGAAGCAGCCAATACACAGACTGGTCAAGAAAACACCAGTCAAAAACATGACAATCTAGAAACAAGTGTTTCTGTCATAGAGACAGAAAGGACACGTGCAAGTTCAGAATACACAACTAGTCCTGATGCAGTTGCTAAAAGTGACAATCCAGAAAAAACCTCTGCAGTGACAGAAACAGCAGTTACAAAGACTGGTCAAGTTGAGACCAGTCACAAAACTGACAATCTAGAAACAAGCACAGCTGTCACAGAGGCAACAATGTCACCAACAAATTCAGAATACACAAGTCCTGATATAATTGATAAAAGTGAAAATCCAGAGAGAACTTCAGCAGTGACAGAAGCAGCCAACACCAGTCAAAAAAATGACAATCTAGAAACAAGTGCTTCTGTCACAGAGACAGAAAGGACACCAACAAATTCAGGATATACAACTGCTCCTGATGTCAGTGATAAAAGTGACAATCCAGACAGAACCTCTGCAATTACAGTGACTTCAATCACAACATCTGGTGAAGGTGAGACCAGTCACCAAACAGGCAATCCAAAAACAAGCATTTCCATCACAGGGACAGCAAGGACACCAACAAATTCAGATGACACAACTGGTCCTGTTGCCACTGATAAAAGTGACCATCCAGATAGAACCTCTGCTGCGACAGAAATAGCAACTGCACAGACTGTTCTAGATGAGACAAGTCATAAAAGAGACAATACAAAAACAAGCACTCCTATCACAGAGGCAACAATGACTTCAACAAATTCAGATGACACAGCCAGTACTGATGGAATTGAGAAAACTGATATTCCAAACACAACAACTGTAATGACAAAAGCAACAGTCACACAGAGTGGTCAAGATGAGACCAATAATAAAAGTGACAATCCAGAAACAAGCATTTCTGTCACTGAGACAACAAGGGCACCAACAAATTCAGATGACACAACTGGTCCTGTTGCCACTGATAAAAGTGACAATCCAGACAGAACCTCTGCTGCGACAGAAATAGCAACTGCACAGACTGTTCTAGATAATACAAGTCATAAAAGAGACAATCCAAAAACAAGCACTCCTATCACAGAGCCAACAATGACTGCAACAAATTTAGATGACACAGCCAGTACTGATGGAATTGAGAAAACTGATATTCCAGACACAACAGCTGCAATGACAAAAGCAACAGTCACACAGAGTGGTCAAGATGAGACCAATAATAAAAGTGACAATCCAGAAACAAGCATTTCTTTCACTGAGACAGCAAGGGCACCAACAAAGTCAGATGACACAACTGGTCCTGTTGCCACCAATAAAAGTGACAATCCAGACAGAACCTTTACTGCGACAGAAATAGCAACTGCACAGAGTGTTCTAGATGAGACAAGTAACAAACAAGACAATCCAGAAACAAGCACTCCTATCACAGAGGCAACAATGGCTTCAACAAATTCAGACGACACAGCCAGTACTGATGGAATTGAGAACACTGATATTCCAGACACAACACCTGCAATGACAAAAGCAACAGTCACAAAGAGTGGCCAAGATGAGACCAATAATAAAAGTGACAATCCAGAAACAAGCATTTCTGTCACTGAGACAGCAAGGGCACCAACAAATTCAGATGACACAACTGGTCCTGTTGCCACTGATAAAAGTGACAATCCAGACAGAACCTCTGCTGCGACTGCACAGACTGTTCTAGATGAGACAAGTCCCAAAAGAGACAATCCAGAAACAAGCACTCCTATCACAGAGGCAACAATGGCTTCAACAAATTCAGATGACACAGCCAGTACTGATGGAATTGAGAACACTGATATTCCAGACACAACAACTGCAATGACAAAAGCAACAGTCACACAGAGTGGTCAAGATGAGACCAATAATAAAAGTGACAATCCAGAAACAAGCATTTCTGTCACTGAGACAGCAAGGGCACCAACAAATTCAGATGACACAACTGGTCCTGTTGCCACCGATAAAAGTGACAATCCAGACAGAACCTTTGCTGCGACTGCACAGACTGTTCTAGATGAGACAAGTCATAAAAGAGACAATCCAGAAACAAGCACTCATATCACAGAGCCAACAGTGACTTCAACAAATTCAGATGACACTGCCAGTATTGATGGAATTGAGAACACTGATATTCCAGACACAACAACTGCAATGACAAAAGCAATAGTCACACAGAGTGGTCAAGATGAGACCAATAATAAAAGTGACAATCTAGAAACAAGCACCCCTGTCACAGAGACAGCAAGGACACTAATAAATTCAGATGACACAACCAGCATTGATGGAATTGATAAAAGTGACAATTCAGACAGGCATACTGCAGTAACAGAAACAGCAATCACAAAGTCTGGTCAAGATGAGTCCAGCCATAAAAGGGACAATCCAGAAAGACCTTTTGCCATGACTGAATCAATAATTATACCCACTATTCCAAATGTCAAAACAAATGTTTTTGCCATCAAGACCACAAGGACACCAATGAATTCAGATTATACGACTGGTCCTGATGGAATTTATAAAAGTGATAATACAGACAAAACCTCTGCAGTTACAAAAGCAACATTTACACCATCTAATCTGAAATACAAAACTAATCCAGATGCAATATATATAAGTCAGAATCCAGAACAAAGAACTCCATTCGCAGAGATAAGTACACCAATGAATGCAGAAGACTCAACCAAGCTTGATGGAATTGGTAAAAGTGACATTCCAGAAACAGGCTCTCCAGTCACAGAGACAATAATGATATCAACAAACTCAGATGGCCCAACCAATCCTGATAGAATTGATAAAAGTGTTGATTCAGACAGGACTACTGCAATGATCGGAACAACAATTTCACCATCTAATTTGGATGACTCAACCAATCCTGATAGTGTTGACAAAAGTGTCAATACTAACAATACTACTGCAGTCACAGTTACAACCTTTGCACTGCCTGATCGAGATGGTACATCCAATCCAGATGATATCATTACAGATGTCAAGCCACTTAAGACTTTGCCTTTTGCTGGCACAACAATTATTACTAATCTGGAGAATAAAACTGCTCGTGATAAAGTTGATAATGGTGACAATCTAGACAAGACTACTGCAGTGATAGAAACAGCAGTTACACACACTGATCCAGGTGATACAATCAATCCAGATGATATGATCAGACATGACAAGCTGGATAAGGTTACTGATGTTACAGGTACAACAATTACAGTGACTAATCCAGATGTAAGAAACAATGACAAGCTTAATGCAGTTACAAAGGCAAGAGTTGCAGAGACTAATCCAATGGGTACAACCAGTCCTAATAGCAGAAACGTCTTCCCAACTGGAACTACTGCAGTCATAAAAGCAGTGCCAATGAACCAAAGAAGTGACCCATCCATTCCTGAAGTTAATGTTAAAAATAACAGACCAGAAGAAACTACAATAAACATGGATATTATAAGAAAAGATACTGACCTATCAGGAAAGTCACCTACTCCCAATAACGTTGGTATCAATGGACTGAAAATAACTGCAACAGTTGCCAAGATAATAAAAGCACCAATTGACATACAGACAACTCTTGGTGCCACAACAGAATCTAAACCTTTGAGTAATTCTGCTAATTTTGAGAGGGATGACAGGCCAGACAGCAACACCACAGGCACAAAAAGTATCACAACAGAACCAAATCTTAGTTTACCTAGCCCAAATGATAATGATAAAAAGAGAAAGGCAGATATCATTACCAAAATTACTCGGACATTAACTATTGAAACTACAGCCTCCCCTCAAATAGATAAACCTGAACATCCAGATGTAATAACTAATAAAAAAATTAATCTTGTTTCAGATAAAGGAACCACAAAGGAAAACCCAGCTAACAAGAATACAATAACACAAGTGAGTACAACTTCCAGCACCCTATCTTCTACAACAAACAAAATTGCAACATATTCCTCTACTTGGTCCACCACTGTTATACCTACAACAAAAAGGCAAGTCACCTCTTACTCCAGTCCAAGAGATGCTACCATTTCCACAACTAGATCTCCAGAGATGATTATCCATAAAACTACAGCATATGTTCAGCCAGATGTACCTCTATTGTATAACGGTACGTTCAGTTTTCTTTTTATCTACTATATTGGAGCCCTATATGATTGCAATAATGTGTAATAAGTTTCAACATTGTTATAGTTATATTTCTGAAAGACACTGAGATGTATGTGTGAGTGGGGATTTGTGTGTAGGCCCAACATAGTTGATGGAACATTGGGTTGTTACTGTATTTAGGGAGGTTGGAAGAAGAGATGTGTTGCAGACCGTGAATGAGAATGATCTCAGGAGCACCAATAACCTTATAGCCTTAAAAATAAGTTTTTTTTCTTTAAATCTTGTGTGTTTCTAGGTAGTTTTTTTTCTTTATGCCCCTGCTTTATTTTTGAATTTTTAAACTGTATTTTTGGATTCTTACTGTTGGATAATTGTTTCTTTGCAGTTTGGAAAGATGTTCTGTGAGGATTGTTACATAATTTGATGAGGCAATTTATGTCATTGTTTGTATTGTACTTTGCCTTCTTTCTTTGAAGTTCAACATTGTTCCCCCACCTGCATTTTATGGTGGGGTAAGCTGAAAAAAATAGCAATTACCTAAATATTATCCTAAAATTTCATGACTGAATCGAGATATACTGTAAGCCTCAGGCCTCAGACACTATATTATAATTACCATTAACAGGTAGCCTTCCATGATTGGACAGGATGGAAATGAAGATTTGAAGAGGATCATATTTGGAAAATACTGTTATGCTCCAAAAGAGATCATGGAAAATTTGGTGGAAGTGCTCTTTTTTAAAGCACTATAGTTAAACATCTAAACATTCTGGACTTGGGCTATATTATTCCTGTTTGTTTGGTATTTTCATGCCCCATTCACACTTTGGAGTGTGCTCCCCCCATCAGTTTTTTAATGATCAATGTGACTGTTAATTTGACCAATCTATTGTTATGACCTAACCTTGGTGAACAAACTTATTTTTTTAAATGCAATATATATTTAATGAGTGGCTTAATAAGGTCTTTAGCTGCATATTGGTAGCCTGTGACACATTCAGTCATCCTTTCAAAGATATATTCTTACCTAAACAGAGAAACATAATGACCATGGATGGGCAAAAAAAAAAAAAAAGCAATAGGAGCTTCTTCTGACTTCCTGCTGGCTTCTCCACTGAGTTTCCTTGTGGGAAGCTGGCAAGGGAAAAATCTGTGGGGAAATCAGCAGGAAATTGTAAGTCCAAGACCAACAAGCTGGTAAATGGCCAACCTTTTGACTAGAAAAAGCATTTAATAATGATAAACTAGGTGCTCATACATTTGGAGAGCCAGTTTGATGTAGTAGTTAAGGTACTAGCTTAGAATCGAGGATATTGTGAATACTATACTTCCCTTATGCATGAAAGCCAGGTGGGTGTCGTAGGTCCTGACTGGAAGGCTAATATTTTACCAGAATGTCATATTTCTTCAGCATTTGGCCATTTCTAATTTATTCTCAAATTAGGAAGAGTGCAGTGGAAATATTTGACAAATGTAAATGGAACTTCACTATTCACACCCAGTTTCCCAATGAATTTCCACAGTTGATACAGAATGAATGATACAAGAATCAGCTATATTTTTCTAAATATAAAAAGTTGAAATGTTATAGAAAATAATTTACCAAGTAGTGCCCTTTTAAATTACATAACCTATCTGAATTAAGCACATTGGTAATCATATGAGTTATATGTTCCCAAAACAGAGTACCGTATATCATAAGATCTTTTCCCTGGAAATTTTGTGAAAGATCACAACTATTTCAGGTAAAAATAATATATTAACCCAATGCATTATGCCTTAATTCAAAGTACTGCATTTTAGTTTTAGGAAACATTGCAGTGTATCTCTCTCTCTCTGTATGTGTGTGTGTGTGACTGTCTGTCTCTCTGTGTGATGGAAAGCTTGGGGGTTCATTTTCAATCAAATCTATTATCATAAACTCTCAAATTATGCATTATGTTCTTCTCAATATGATTTACAGTGTTTATTGTATAAAACCTGGATTTTAAAACTAAAAAAGTTAATTATTTATTAGATGTACCAGACGAGATGAACTTGTGTAATAAGAAGCCTATAGATGGGATTGTCCCTCTACAAAATGGATCACTAGCGGTATTCAGAGGTAAGTTAATACGTGGCAGAGCTTAAGTTTTGGACAAAACGTTACATAATAAAATATGCATTTTGTTATAAACATTTCAGGGTGAAGTCAGGGTTGGGAGTTCTGCTCAAGACCTTCTCTGTCTTCATCAGAAGATATATTCACATAATGGTTCTTGAAATGAAATTTGCACTACTAACGTGCACTGCCACATTCAGAATGTGCACCCCAGAATTGGAGCAAGATCATTTGGACAGCTTAGAAACAAACCATGAACTTTGGTAGAAAAGATTTACAGCCCTCATAAACTACCCAAACTCAGCCTTTCCTGTAGTGTTTGGAGATTGTAGGAATAATAACATAGTTATAACAAGTGGAGGCTGGGGGGTGGGGTGAGGTTTGCATAGAATCCTACAAACTAGTTGCCCAGGCCACTATGGGCCAGCTAACATTTCAGCTGCCATAAATTTCTAGTTACTGTGAAATCTGCCTTGTTGCTAAGAGGTTCATGGTTGAGTATTAATATATTGTTTCTTTTTCCATAACACTGGCATTTACTTGGTTTTGCAGATCATTATTACTGGCTGCTAAATGGAACAAGCTCACCCTCCCCTCAACCTCGTAAAATTTCTGAGGGATGGCATATCCCTTCCCCCATTGACACAGTGTTCTCCAGATGTAACTGTGATGGCAAAACTTTCTTTTTCAAGGTGAGTCATATTTCTTTTCCACAACATGAGTCTTGGTACCATAGGAGTTAAGAAATGGAGAGGCTGTACAGTATAATTAAAAAAAAATCTGAAATGCTATGTGAAACAACAGAAAACAAGATATTGTTGATCAACAGATGATGATCAGGTAACTCTCCTGCACTTCATTTATACAATCATATGCAACTTGTTACAAGCTACCAGGTTTTCTTTTGAAAACATCAAAAGAATTGGCTTTGCTGGAGAAGTCAATGGTCTGGTTGTAAGCATGAACTAACACGATCAGGTTCTGTGCAGAAAGCAAAAAAAATTGCCTGTCCTGAGAAACAACATATGATCACGTTTGACAGGAGAATTTTAAATGAGTTTTCTTGATAAAGTGCCAGTCATCATTACTAGCAATGGAGAGGTTTTCAACCACTTGCCATGTAAGCTACTCTTAAGAGTCCTTAGTTAAGTAAAGTTTTAACAATAAATGCATATATGGTTTGGTGCAATTCTATACGGATCTCTTTGGCAGTGTACTCTGCTGTAGAAAGTGAGACCTGCCCCTAAATATAGACATTTTTGTGAAGTAACTTTGCAGTAGATTGACATCATTATTTTACAAAGGGACCTTTCTATTTTAAGCAAAACATGAGGTGAGGAAGATTAGGAATACATAGTAAACTGTAATTGAGTGGTTTATAGCCCTACTGTATGTCCACAAGATAAAAACGAGTAAGATATAAGCAAATGAATAACATTACAGAATAAAATATTCCTATACCAAGAAACCCATAAAAATATCTTCATATACTTCTACAGAGTTTGATTTGAGTTCCATGAAATCTGTCTTTAGTTCTAAAACATCCCTATATCTCTTAGAGCCTGCCACATTTTAAAATGAAATACCTTTTCTCTCATTCTTGTTGTAAAATGGTATCTTTTCTCTGTAGATTTAAAAGGCTTGTGTTTAAAGCGATGTTTAAGTAATAAGGAACAGTGGACCCCTTTAATCAATCAAAAGAGTTTTAAAAAGATTAACTTGTTAATTATATTTAAAAATATTAAATGGCATACTTTCTCATGCTTTTTCAGCTCTTAGCCAGAATGGCAAAACTTAAAGGGAGAAAACTATTGGAGTTTAGGCACCTGATAAAATGATTTTGCTTGAGAGCCAATAAAGAAACAGTGTGAAGAATAGGAAAAAGATAGGAAACTCCAAAACACCCTGCTTCATGTTAAATATTTCCTAGTCCTCAACAAGAATTTTAAAATAGTTACGATCCCTGAAACCTGCATTTGTTAAATCAAGATATAATGAAGAGCCTCTTTAGAAGGAACTGGATGAGTCCCAAATGTTTTGCTGTGATGTTCAAGACAGGATATATTTGCCAAAATTCTGGAGAGCAACCAAAAGGATGTCACAGTGATGTAACTCCCCAATTTTTCCACTCCAAGCAACTCTGAGTGCTGTGCATTGAAACAGCTTTGCTTAGAGAGGTTCAATCCAGTTATATTTAATGACAGGTTTGATGGAACAAAATTAAAGAACTAATATGCTTATTTGTAAAGATCTCGAGACACAGACTTGGGATACAGAAGTTCAAATTTCCACCCTAATGCAAAGATCAGTGAATAATATTTGGCCAATCACAACCACACACACATACGCACACAGACTAAGTTCTTAGCATATGCTAGTCTAAACAGTGGTTGCTAATGCATAGTCCAAACACTGTAGTTATCTATTAATTCAATGTGCAGGCAACTTTGACAAATGAATAACATAATTGTACTAATATATTGAATGAAAAGACTCCATCCCACACTCCACACCCCACACTCCTGTGCTGTATTCAGGTTGTGTTATAAGGGTGGGAGAAAATATGGGGTATATGTATAGGAAAAGACAGTGTATGTCAGTTCAGCTCCTTGAAGGGAAAGTAGGGTATCAATGTGTTCAATTTATGTAGCTTTCATTTCATAATGAAATTAAATCATTACATTCAAGTTCATTAACTTTCAGGCAAGAAATACAATTGACTGTTTAAGGTCATATGGGGACTGCACTCCAAGAAGTAATTGGGACCAAGACAAAAAAAATTTCACTTTGTATCTTTTGCATCTAATTAAAATTAAAACTAAATTAAAACCTAATTGTCCTATTAAACATTGTGAATTTGATGATAACTTTTGGAGAGGCTCGGGCCCTATATGTGCAGGGGAATAGACAACCCCAGGCCCACAAATTGTGTATCTTTGATGTACTGTCTTAACCTGGGATCCTGAATTGTCCCCTCTTTCATTATGTTCCTAAGATGTACTGCCAGGAATTTTGAAGGTCAATTTGCCTTAAAACTGTTCTGCTCCCAAAGTGTCATAAATAAACTTAGCATAGCAGAAACACAGGTGGCTCAGGTTAACATGTACTTGTTTATAGAAAATATTACACTTTAAAAAAAAATCAAGCTAATTCCTTCCATGTAACGTAAGATACTGTTGCCATCTCTCTCTCTCTCTCTCTCTCTCTCTCTCTCTCTCTCTCTCTCTCTCTCTCTCTCTCTCTCTCTCTCTCTCTCTCTCTGTGTGTGTGTGTGTGTGTGTGTGTGTGTGTGTGTGAAAATAACTGCAACAGTTTTTTTTTCTCATGAATTTCTGGGCTGCAGTTTCGGTTATTTTCAACAATTCTAATAAATGGGATGCTCTGTTTCTCTATGCTTACTTCAAATTCACTGTTAAAATATATGTTTTCAGTCCTTCTTCCTGGGGAACTATCTCTGAAGAAGTAGGAGAAATGGCTGGGAATCCTTGGATTCATAGTTCCACCTGAAGAGCAACAAGTTGAAGAATGTTAGTTGTAGAAACTTCAACAAACTAAATTTAGTATAGGGTGAATAATTGGGTGAGTTTGTTGTAGTGGTTAAGGCATTAGGCTAGAATTAGGGAGACGTTGAGTTCTAGTCCCACTTTAGATATAAATCCAACCAGGTGATTTTGGACCAGTCACTCCCTCTCAGTCCTAGGAAGGATTGCAAAGCAATTCCAAAACACATCCCTCCCCCCTACTTTGCCAAGAAAACTGCAGGGACTAGGTCAGGCAGTCTCCAGGAGTCAATACTGACTCAAAGGCACAAATAAAAAAGTATGGTGGGAAGATATTGAAGGTGGAGGAGGGAACGAGACGTAAAGCTATACTGGACTTAATTCTTACTAATAGAGAAGAAGTGATATAGGGAGTTGAAGTTGCCGGAACCTTGGGAGAAAGTGACCATGTCATACTGGAATTTAATATAATGCAAACACTACCAATAGAAAACAACCCAACCAGTGTCTTAAACTTCAAAAGAGCTGACTTTAACAAACTCAGAGAAAAACTAGGAAAGATCCCATGGATCTTTCCCCTAAAGGGGAAAACAACCCAAGAAGCATGGGAAACTCTGAAAAATGCGATCATAAAAGCCCATATCAGCACAATACCACTGAAAAAGAAAAACAAGAAATTCAAGAAGAAACCAATATGGCTGTGCAAAGATCTCTCTGACAAACTAGAGGACAAAAAGGACAAATACAAAAAATGGAAAGAGAGGCACATAACTAAGGCTGATTATCAGCAGACAGCCAGAACATGCAAAGATGAAGTCAGGAAAGCAATGGCTCAGAATGAACAAAGACTTGCAACAGAAATCAAGGATAATAAAAAAAAGTTTCTTCCAACATATTAATAAGAAAAAAGTCAAGGAAACTGTAGGTCCACTAAAGAGAGAAGATGGCAATGAAATAACAGGCAACAGGGAGAAAGTAGAGCTGCTTAACTCATACTTTGCATCAGTCTTCACACAAAAAGAAACTATAGCCCAACATACCAAAAAACTACTGCAAAAGACAAACTAGAAACAAAAATTAAAATAAGCAAGAAAATGGTATGAGAACACCTATCCAACCTTGATGAATACAAATTACCAGGACCCGACAGATTACATCCCAGAGTTCTGAAAGAGCTGGCAGATGTTATCTCAGAACCATTGCACTACATCTTTCATAAATCCTGGAGTACCAGGGAAGTACCTGAGGATTGGAAAAGGGCTGATATGGTTCCCATCTTCAAGAAAGGGGAAAAAATGGACCTAGGAAACTACAGACCAATCAGTTTAACCTCAATACCTGGGAAGATCCTAGAAACGATAATAAAAAAACAGATCTGCGAACAACTAGAAGCAAACAAAGTTATAACTAGTAGCCAGCATGGGTTTGTTAAAAACAGATCATGCCAAACCAATCTTATTTCATTCTTTGATAAAGGGACTAAACTAGTAGACCAGTTTAATGCTGTGGATGTAGTATACTTAGATTTCAGTAAGGCATTTGATAAAGTAGACCACAACCTACTCCTTGGTAAGCTAGAAAAAGATGAAATAGAGTAGACAATATCACCACCAGATGGATCTGTAGCTTCTCTCTTTGATCAGTTTCCAACCATTGTTTCTTGCCTGCTTTGTCCTGATCAAAGAGAGAAGCAACCTGGAATTAAGGAGAAACTTCCTGACAGTGAGGACAATTAACCAGTGGAACAGCTTGCCTCCAGAAATCGTGGGCACTCCATCATTGGAGATTTTTAAGAAGAGGCTAGATAGTCACTTGTCTGAGATGGTATAGGTCCTCCTGCTTGAGCAGGGGCTGAACTAGAAGACCTCCAAGGTCCCTTCCAGCTCTATTCTATTCTAAGAAGTCAATTAGCCTGTAACTGCCAGATGCAATCTTAGACTTTCCATAGCTACTCAGCACTCTGATTTCTGTTACTCTTCTCTGCCAATGTTGCAAGACTTTCACTTGCATTTCTACTGCATTCATTGGGAGTTGCATTTACTGTAGATTAGAGAAACCAGAAATAAGCTCCCTTATTTCTGATTTCTCTGGAGTGATATGGAAGCCTGGAGCTACTGGTAAAAGCACTTGACTCTGCAATTACCATAACTCCAAAATTGGTTAGTAACGGCTATAACTTCCTGTATTAGAAGCAAAACTTGATTGCTGTTTCTTCCATGTTATATACTTCACTGTGTTTTTCAATCAACCATCAACACATAGTGGGAGGATATTCTTAGTGATGGCTTGTACTCTCTGGGGGATTTGGTTGGTTCCGAACAGAATTCTAGATGCAAACTTCTACAAGTCAATTCTACTTTAAATTGATTTGTATAGGATTGCAATTGTGCTTTTAATCTAGCATTCAGTCATGTAAAGTGGTAATAAGGCTAATAAAAACAATAACTAATAAGGCTAATAAAAGCAATAAGTAAATCATGAATACGTATTTTAAAGACCCCTTAGATTTTTATCAATAGTTTATTTATTTAAATTCATTGGCTACACGCCTCCAGTGGACTTTTACATTTTCCTCCCGTGTTTTTCTCTGTAGAAAAAAAGATCTTTCAAGCCCCATGTTCCATTTCTTCATGAACAAATTACAAGTTGCATCAGAGTCTAATGCAACGTTTGCCTTAAATATTGATGTAACTTCAGCTAACATTATATTTTTCAGGGGCCCCAATACTGGCGCTTCACCAATGATATAATGGATGCTGGCTATCCTAAGCTGATTGTAAAAGGATTTCGAGGACTGAATGGGAAAATTATGGGAGCTCTTTCTGTGGCTCCGTACAGAAGCAGGCCAGAATCTGTGCATTTTTTCAAAGAAGGTAGGTCTGTTGTTTTCCCGTGTCTATCAGGTGCATTAAAGAAAGTGGTAAATCCTTTTATATTCTCTACCTATGTGGGTTGTCTTGGTAAAAATACAGGAGTGGTTTACTGCTGTTCTTTTCTTGTGTATCTGAATTGATGTTTTTGCCATTGTTGCTAAAGTGATCATTTGCCTCCAGTATTTTCTTGTATGGCTTCTGCCCAATAAAGGTGGCTGCACAGTGGGATTCTAGCGGTGAAGTGGGATGACCTTCACATATATTCCTGCTGGGAATATATAACACTTGACATTTGCTTTCTCCTAGGAACACCCCTGGACCACAATGGGGCAATACAGCAGGACTTAGTGGGGAAGGTGTGGTTAAAACCTAACTAATGAAGCTGATTTCTTTGAAATATATTGCATTGCAGGCTTTTCTCTTGCTGGTACAACTGTCATTCAGCACAAAAACGACAGTCTTTGATGCTTAAGTCAAATAAGTGACTTAATTAAATCAGCAGGAAAGTAGTCCTTTCAAAGGGAAGCAATGGGATGTTACATAGTAGCTGTCAGTTTCAACTAAGTATTAGACATTTCATGAATGTGGGAACATGTTAAAATAACATCCATAGCATTTTTTTTAAAAAACCCTTAAACTAAAAAAATTGTGCTGCTACTTTATTCTCACTGATCAAAAGTTTTTAAATGGCTATATCTAACAATTTAAACATGTATTTTTAAGTCTGGTTATTGTTTAATACTGTTAAGCTTCTTCCTCTATCAAAAATATTATTTTAATTGTTGCCTAACTGCATCTGCATTCATTTTATTGCATATAAACAATTAATATGGTCCCCCTATCATAGTTGTTCTTGAAATCAAAGTAATTTAAGGATATTTTACTCCTGTTTGATTTAATGGACCATCTCGTTCATTTAGCAGTTTGGCTGCAACAAGCCAAATTTCCATCCAGACACTTCCCCGAACTCAGTAATGTACAAATCCACTGAATGCTAAGTAATTAGGATGAGGCACTTAAATTTGCATTTAAAAAAAAATAATCCTGCAATCTATGTCATTTGTGAAATGTAATCAGTTGTTACACTAGTTCCTTAAAAACTAGGTTTCACTGTATTACTTTTCTACTCTAGGTGGCAATGTTCAACAATATACCTACAAGCAAAAACCAAAGAAGTGTAAGAAGAAAGTTGTAACTGTGAATTATCCGGTTTATAAACCAAAGACTTTGGTTCTGAGGCAGAGGCGCTTTGGACGTGCAGTACAATCTCGTCAGATCTTCCGAAGCGTCCGAATAAGGCACTACCCAACCATTCGGATCACCCATCATTCGACAGGCATGGTCCTTGTTTTGACTTGTTTGGAGGCTACGGTTCAATTGGGTTGTGCAATGCTACAGATCGAAAAATGAGCTCCGTATGAAGCAGCCTAACCCTATGGAGGTTGATGATATCTTGCTCTTTAAACACTTTGTCCCAGAGCTTGTGTGCCATTAAGACAGCGGTTCTCAACCTATGGGTCGTGACCCCATTTGGGATCGATCGACCATTTCACGGGGGTCACCAAGCAAGGCTGTCCACCATTTTCCCCCCTTTTCCGGCGGGTGCCTTACCTCCCTTGGGCTGGGCCAGCTGGTGGTCGGCCTGCTCCATCTCTACCGCTTGCCAGCTACGCCTCGGCCAGCGCAGGGGGCGGAACCATGCATGCACGGCGCTCCCGGGCAGGGAAAGTCCTCGACTTACGACCGGTTGGGTAGTCCTCTACTTACGACCAGTTTAGTCCTCTACTTACGACCGGTTAGTCCTCTACTTACGACTGGTTGGGTAGTCCTCGACTTACGTCCGGTTTAGTCCTCGACTTACGACCAGTTGGGGGTCGCGGCATTAAAAAGGTTGAGAACCACTGCATTAAGACATCTTCTGAATGGTTTTATATCATCTTCCTAATCTCAAGATATTGTTTTGTATTTGCAGGAATACTGCAGCCAGAGGTTAAAATTACATCATATTGGAGAGGATTTCCGAAAGAATTTAATTCTGTTATCTCTGTTCCTAATGAGGAGACGGTGGATGGATACGATTACTATGCCTTCGCAAAAGGTATGTTGTGGTTGTATGACAATCACTTCAGATGCTGCCAGCTATTTGAGGCTTTTGTATTCCTCTTGAGATTCTCAGTTTCAGAATAGCCACATACCACACTTCTAGTCTATTCTTAAAATAGTTTGAAGGGCTGGACAAAAATATAGCTTTGAAAACAGAGAAACATATGCGGTTCACATGAATATGAATTTCAAATATGAAATAACTGCTGAGTAGCCATTTTTAGTCCATTTTATTGTACATATATATAACATACACTTGATAACGGATTTCTTTGGGTGGAATGGAACTACATTCTTTCATAGCCTGCCAGGTACTACACTCAAAGCTTATCAAGAAACTCAGTAAAGGTCCTCAAGTCTGACTTGACTCCCGAAAACCACATCCATGGAATTTTCTTGACAGTTATGGAAGAGGGTTGCCATTACCTTCGTCCAGAAAATTTTTAAGGAATTGCAATAATGGCGGATATCTGTAGCTCGGGTATGGGATAAGGGTGAAGGTTCGTTCTCTGAGCTTGTGGGTTGGTTTCTGAATGTTTCATTACCAGGCTAGGTAACATCTTCAGTGGAGTTTAGGGGATGTCAGTGTTCTTCTGTTTATAAGGGCTTAGTGCGGTCAGTAGGTCTTATGATGGGTCAAGTGTGATGAGTTAGGTGTGGGTGTGTCAAGTGGGGGTCTTGTAATTGGTCTTGTGTTGGGGAGGTTAACATCAGGTGAGGCTCATTGGGAGGTCAAGAGTTGGTTGGGGGACTTGTGTGGGATAGTTGAGGGTCAGTGCTCTCTCTGGTTAGCTGTGCGGTTGATTTGGATTTTGAGGGGTTTGTAGGCTGGTTATAGGTCAAGTATCTGTTGATGGAATGCCAGGCTTTGATGAACTCACAAGCATGATGGGTGGTAGCGTGGCTGATGATTTTTGCTCCAATTGAACTGGTGCTGTTTGGTGTCGGTATGGGATAGAAATTAAGGATTTTGGATCATGGCATTTGACTACCAGCTGGTGTTCATGGATCCTGGTTTCCTAGTGTATACAACCCTAAAATTCAGAGTAACTCTCTTGTTGTAGTACTAATCTGACCTTGCTTGGCCATCTAAGAACAATGTCGCCACCTGTTCAGAAATATTAAATAAATAAAAAATCATCTCTATTTATTTATTTAGCTTAGAACTACTATCTTGATAGTAGTGATAGTAGTGATTTTTTGAGAAATATGCCTTTATATCATTTACACCATTAAAAATAACAAAACAATGTTATTGTTCACTTTTTGATAGCAACTGTGTCTTATAGTAGCAAGTGTTGTGTAGTGTAAAACATTCTTTTTTTTGCTGCTGCAACTGATATTTTAAAACAGGAGTTTTAAATTAGGAATTAGACAAAATGTGCAAGGCAAATTTGAAAGAAAAACATGACTTTGTGTGAGATGTAAAATCAGATAGCCTGGATTACACAGGATACTAAATCTAATCCCATGAATCATGCTGCAACTGAATTTGGATACTTTGCTCTCAATAGAACCATTTATCTCAATAGATAATAGATAAATAAATGCTAGCAGGACCATAGTTGGCTAGCATTTGTCCTTTCTGGGTAGAGAACAAGAGGTATTCACAGTGAGGTAGGAAGAGTTTGCATTTTCTAAAAGTTTAAGATGGTCTAGAGGTTTCTTCCATCCTCTTTTACTCTTTAAAATGTCTCGCATGCTTATAACATCACTGGGCTGTTTCATAGATGGGGTTTCTTTCCCTGACTTTTTTTTGAAGGAAGCCTGTAGTACCTAAACAGACTGGTACTGAAAGAAAACCTTAGTCCCTGATTTGATTTGACTGAATTTTCTAGGGTTTCTTTCTGACTGAAAATTCAACCCCATTTTTCCCAACGTGAGAACATAAATGAGGCAAATGTACCTTAGTCCACTCATCTTCCAATTGCTTGAGTTGCTCAATGCTATCTGTCCACTGGAGGAATCTATGAAGTACCAAGGTTTCTTCTGTAAGCTGTGAAGCGGGGGTGGGGGGCTGTCTCATTGCCTCTTTCCAAACAACTGAAATTGCATGGAAAGAAATGTTCCCCTTGAACTGAGGATACATATTATCCATTGTTTTTCAACTGTTAATACTTGTGAGGTGTGATCTAACAGCCCTGTTCTCCCTCTCCATTCCCTTTCAGATAACTACTACAGCTTGGATGTGGGCAGCAGAATAGCAAGACCAGTTACAACGCAAACTGGGCAGACTGTGTCTAATGCTTGGTACAAGTGTCCTGCAGAATAATTTGGAAACTCAAAGACCTGAAAGAAATGCTTTTGTGTGACAGTTTCTCTAGTTTTTATTAATAAAAGACAACCAAATGTTCATACAACAATCCTTTTTTAACATTTTAAAAAAAGACTGCTTTAAGCTTGGCAGCTATTATACTAATGCAGAATAAAGGCAGACTAAACAGTATACACCATTTCCAAAATTTGTACAGCATTTAGTTAATATTGCCTCTGTTCAGGCCTCCTCTGCCACCCATTGAATGAGTTATACCTGCAAGAAAGATACAGCAGTTATATATATTTTTCAATTTTCATTTGCCTTTTGATATTTTAACAATCTACAAGAATTTCCCTGCCACTATTATTACTATAAAATAATCATTCCATATCTTATTTTGAATATCATAGTCAAAAGCTTAACAGCCAACACATCCTCAGTTTGGAGTGGAGAATTCTATTCCATTACACCCATCTTAACCAAGCTTAGATCAGGAAGCTGAATGGGGAATATCCTAAAGTTCCTTCAAATATTAATGGGAACAAGCTTTGGGATTTCTGGAAATTACAGCAACATGATTAGCAAAAATGAGGTCTTAAAATTACCATTAAGTGAAATTAACATCCATATTTAACACAAACAGCTTCTTCTAGTAATTGCAAATATTGCTTCTAACAAGATTTTCAATTTTTAAAAAGTTTCAGCTTAGAAATCACTATTTCTTTTTTAAGTCCATCTAATTTTTGGGGGGAGGTATTTACTGTGAGTCATGAGTCTTGTTCTGTTCTTGATCTTCTTTAAATGTTTTAATTTTCTTTGTAACTGAAACAACTCATTAGTTGGTATATAAGCTGATTCATCACTAAAGGCTTATGCCCAGGAATCTCCTAAACTAAGGCTCAGCACTTGCGTAAGTTAGATATGGGTCAACGGCACTTAAGGGGATTAGATCTAGTTTGCTTGTGGCTACGTACGGATTCCAGACTGATTGCTCTTTTCACTCTGCCCCCAGGTTCAGCCATTCCTTCTCTTACAATATGTAAGCTAGCAGGGGGCAAAATCCTACATTTTTCAAAATGTTTATGCTGTATGCGTAGTTCACTTTTCTCAACAGTAAGTAACGTAACTTAGTTAACTAAGCCCCACTGTGATTGAAATATACTCACCCCTGTGTCTATTAAACTGACGACCACGGACTCCAGCCCTTAAGGTTGGGGGCTGAAGTCTAACGCGTCGGAAGGGTTTGGGATGATTGCTGCTTGTATCTGGAAAAGAAATAGTGGGGTATTCATTTTCTCATAGCCATAGAAGTATTATTCCTGATTTTTGTACTGCAGGACTGTGTGGGTATAACAAATAAAACCTTTAACTAGAAAACGAGTAGCAGTTTTTTTTCTACATGCAACTTTGTAGATCACGTGAATGGTTATTTTTGTATGACACTTCAATGAATGGAAATACAAGCAAATTCCTGTATACTTTTTTAAGTGTTTTGTCAAACATTTGGAGGATTGATGACCAGAGTTCATGCCCTAATGAATCTTTAAGCTGCAGAGAATGATTAGTGAGAATCCTTCCTTTTCATATCTACAGACTGCAATCTTTTCTAGAATACAAACTGTAATGGGGGGAGAAATTCAAAACCATCACACGCTCAATTCTTCTTTGTCTGATGTCCCATATCAATGAAAATTTATAAGAAGAGATGGTCCTTAATGTATTACTATAACATAGACCACAATTTCCGTCATAAGTCATGACAGTTGTTAAGTCAAGGCACCCCACTTGATCAGACCCAACTTTATGATTTTTTTGTGTGGTTGTTGTTAAGTAAATGCCACAATTGTTAAATGAATCCATGTATTCCTTTTTTTTGGGGGGGGGGGTCCATCATAACTTCAGTCCTTAAGTAAGGACCACCTGTACTCCAAATGATAGTTCTCTAGATCCAGCATTTGATGGAGCTATGTATACCTGCAGATGAACTAGAAGGAGGATCTTGACTGGTAGAAGGAAGATCTGATTCATCAGGAGTTTGAGATGATTCCTCCTCTTGCTGGCTATCAATGTCTAGGCCCACCTCTGAAGAAATTCTATAAACAAAGGGATGCACAGGGAAGAAATGTGAATAACAACAACACAGAAAATATATACAAACATATCCCACAAGGGGCTTCAACCAGCCTAACTTGGAGCCCAGGAGAACAGCCAGGCTCTCTGAAATGCCTTAATTTTATTCAGAAAACCATCATAACTTTGAAAGCATCCTAGGCTTTATGTTCAACCACACCTAGTGATGGCACAGATGACATACACAATGGTGAAACCCGGATTTCGTCTTTATTGTTCTAGCAAAGCAACAGTAACATATCTGTGAGAACTAGTATGGAAGCTTTTATTTTGAAAGGATTGCTCCCTTTAATGGTGAGGTAAGAAAAAAAAATGGAAGCATAGAAGTGAACCTCTCACTGATTTTCTCCACCTCTGTGTCAGTTCTCTGCTGATTTTTACTACAAGCAGTGTGTATTGAGACTATTGCTATTACAGTTGAGCAAAATAATAATGCTTTGCTCCAAGAAAATTTAGTCAGTTTTACAAAAAGCTCAATTGGACACTGTGAAAACCTAGCAATGAAGTTATCAAACCTATCTCTCAAAATTACTTCAAGTGGCTCTGTAGCCAGATTGTGATCAATAAAAAAAGAATTAACTACACTTAGCCTTAGCCAGAGCAACAAAATTGGATAAAAGAAAAAAAAAATCATTCTGGTGCATAGAAATGTCCCCAAAAAATGTACTGGTGCTTCCTAATTTTACCTGCTATTAAGTTTCAATACCCCCCAATATCAGAAGAGAACTAGTCTGAACTAGAATGCTATAGATGCTATTTTCTATTATGACCCTAGTGAACTTGCAAATCACTCCCTGGAACCATCGGGCAATTTTATTCAAGGATTATATTCTTGAATAGGGATCAAAAAGGAAAAACAACTCACAAAGATCATTACCAATAAATAATTGGCAGAATGCCACAGGCCCAGATGCAAGTCATTCTGGCCAGGAATGTACAATTGAAATTCTGCCTTGGGCAATCCGTCTGTGAGGGCACAACACCTCCTACCCAAACAGATTGGGCTTAAGAGGGCTCTCAGACTGGGAGGTAGAGTGGCTCTCCCAGAACCAAGTCCACACAGATATTAAGAGTATATTACTCTTGGAGAGATGGGAACATGAGGGCAAACCATCATATCGTTTGTTTTAAAAATACAAAAGATTTAGTGATGGATAATGAATGATTAGAACTTCAGCAATTCAGTTGGATTGTACCCATCTTGTTCAGGTGCTTTTGCAGGCAAATTCTGATCTTAGCCAACCAAAACCTTCAGCTTACCCTTCTGATTCTGCCTCCACAAAAACCTCGTCACCATCATCACCTGTTCCAGATTCTGAAGTGGTTGATAAGTTACCAGTGGAAGTTGTAACCATTGGAACAGACTGGGAGGCATGCTCGGAAGCATCGGCAGAAGCGCTTTCAGTAAATACAGACACTGGAAATGGGAGGGGGGGGAGAACAGAGTGTAAGCCAAACCTATCCAAGAAGACGATGTTTTCTCTCTCTCCATCACACCGAATGCTATAAATCCCCCCCCAAATTTGGAAAGTAGAAATATGTTATTATATATGTGTTTATATTGTTAAATATTCTTGCTTCTGTTTCACGCCAATCAGAACGATTGGCAGCATCAAAATGTTGCTAAACACCAGTAGTGTAGCATCTTACCAAGTCGTTCAAAAGGTTTAATATCGCTTTCAAATTAAGCCCAGCACTCTCAAATTTCCTAGTGAAGCCAAGTCATACCAACCCTACCCACCATGATTCCTGGACTCTCAAAACAAGTTAAAAATGAACCTATCCCTGTATTACAAAGTCAATAAAAACATATTTATTGCTTTCATGACACAGTGCAATCATAGAAAAATTGTAGTCTGTGCTTAGAAGTCCCTGGTTGCAAAGCAACGGCCTTCTGCCTTCCTTGTGGTGACAAAGATTGAATTGTGTGTTGATTTGGAGGTAGGAGACAAGATCAAGATGAGAGAGAAGCTAATTAGGGATTTGTGGGATTTTACGTGAAAAACAGATGCCTATTTCTGCATAGACACAGCATCAGAGGAGGAGGAAGGAAAGAGACTAGAGTGTCATAAACTACACTTTTTGTTACGTGATAATAAACTTTGATCCTTTGCTTATATTGACTTACAAACTTTCTACAGATTAGTTAAGGTTTTCTGATTTTTCTTTTTCTAAAAATGCCCTTAACGCTCCCTGAAAAATAAAGGATTCTTTGTTCAAGAATGTAAGAAGTTTAGCACCAGAGGCCTTGCTTCTCTACTGACACGTTTCTTTGTTTTTAACTTCTACTTGAGAACCCACCAGCCAGTGTTTCTCTGGATGAAAAGCATCAACATCAGTTTCCCACCAAATAGCTCCATTTCTGTCCACAAACATTCTGTCTAATAACACTATTAGGAATGCAGAATCTGTACAAACTGGGCTCACCAGGTGCTGCAACTTGTAGTGGAGTTGTTGGGACACTACGACCTCCGGATTCCTCTTCATGGGCAAGAAAGAGGGGTGTTTCATACATTCCTAGCCCTATCAAGAATTTGAGAAGAATTACTTTGATGCAACTCAAAAGCACAATATTCAGCCAAGAGCATTTGCTTCCCTGCTACCTTAATAGAAAGGCCCAAACAAGTTGTTGTTGTTTTTTTAAAAAAAGGAAAACTCACCTAATATTCACACTTTGAAAAAGCAGAGAAAAATACAGCAATTTACATGGGAAACCTTTTGCACTTTTTAAGATACTAGGTTTAATGCAACAATTAAAAGATGATCAAAGGCCTGGAGACTAAAACATACGAAGAACAGCTACATGACTTGGGTCTGGCTAGTCTAAAGAAAAGAAGAAATAGGGGAGACATGATAGCAGTGTTCCAGTATTTGATGGGCTGCCACAAAGAAGAGGGGGTCAAATTATTCTCCAAAGCACCAGAGGGCAAGACACGAAACAATGGTTAGAAACTGATCAAAGAGAGAAGCAACCTGGAATTAAGGAGAAACTTCCTGACAGTGAGGACAATTAACCAGCGGAACAGCTTGCCTCCAGAAATTGTAGGCACTCCATCACTGGAGATTTTTAAGAAGAGGCTAGACAGTCACTTGTCTGAGATGGTATAGGTTCTCCTGCTTGAGCTGGGGGTTGGCCTAGAAGACCTCCAAGGTCCCTCCAAGCTCTATTCTATTCTATTCTGTTTTGAAATATCTGTATCCTATATGATTTAGAAAATTTCATCAGTGCAAATCCTAACAAAATGTAGAGAAATGTGTGGGCATGTGCTTTCAAAGAGGCAGTAAATGATCTTAGAACGTGGTATCAGAGATTCTTTTTCATATTTGTATTTGTTTGTACTTCTCTGTTAGAAGGGCAGCAGAAAGTTCTCCAGTTTGAGTTCTTTTTGACTTATATTTCATGCCACCTACTAAAAATAAAGGGAGCTATTTTGTTATAGTGGTGAAAGCATAAGGCTAGAACACAGGTGTCAAACTTGCTACATCACGTGACGTGTCGCAACTTTTTTTGCATTGCCGGAGCTGGGGTGGGCGTGGCCTCCGTATGATGCAAACGGCCTGCGGGCCGGTAGTTTGACACCCCTGGGCTAGAAACTAGGAGATCCAGAGCAAAGCCAGCTGTGTGACCTTGGGCTACTCTCTCTCTCTCTCTCTCAGACCTAGGAAGGAGACAGTAGCAAACCACTTCTGAAATCTTGCCAAGAAAACTGCAGGGACTTGTCCGATGGTCACCAAGACTTGAAGGCAGACAAAAAAACAAAACAAAAAAAACCCCATCACCTAGATATAAAAGAGAAGCACAAGTTCAGATATCTATACCTCCTTGTGATGCAAGTTGGCCAAGATCTGATTGGCCAGAGGTTTGTGGCATATCTTCAGGAGGTCCAAACCTGAACCGAGGAACTCCGGCAACCTGAGGAGAACTAAAAGACAGGTTACATCCCGTTTTACCCACCACTAACTAATTCTGCACCACTACGAGAGTTAGGAAAAAAAATTGAAATTATAAAGGAATTACAGTAAATTATTTATTAATATACAAAATATATTTCCATAAGGTTTTTAACACTGGAGTCCTATGGCTTTAATAATTTTCATTGTTTTTAAATACTTGTCATCATTATGACTTTGTGTTTTTATCTTTCTAAGGATCACTTATGTGAGATGGGTGGCTATACAATTTGAATAAACAAACAAACAAATAAATAAGGTGTAAGGTCAATAGTATATAGTATATGTAAATACATCCATACATTCTGTAACATTTAAAAAGTTTGCTGCTCTTTTGCTGGTTGGAATCCACTTACTGAATTGCTTCTGCGAACCCATCTGTACGATGCGGTACCACCAATGTTGGGGTGCTTGGAACTGTCCGGTCCTCATCATCGAAGAAATGTTGCTGCTAGAGAGAGATTTTAAAAACTGTAAACAAACAACCATTTGCATTGCTTGCCTTTAAAAGCATTATCTATTATGCTGGGCCCACTACTAAACAGGTTTTTAAAAAGCTAGATTTATTTTATAAGTCTGTACAGTCTCTACCTTGGATCACTGAACTTTGTGAATTAGTACTTTGAGGAAACTCTAGTCTAGAATAACTAAAACATGTCAGCTGAAGAATTTTGTACTGATTTCCCAGTCATGCTGAAAGCGAAGAATTTTATTGTTGTGGTTGTTAGTTGCGAAGTCATCGCGACCCCATGGACAACGTTCCTCCAGGCCTTCCTGTCCTCTACCACCACGCCTACTGCTTCAGTGACTCCACTCTGTCGTCCCCTTCTTCTATTGCCCTCAATCTTTCCCAGCATTAGGCTCTTCTCCAGTGAGTCATTCCTTCTCATTAGGTGGCCAAAGTATTTGAGTTTCAACTTTAGGATCTGGCCTTCTAAAGAGCAGATGGCGTTGATCTCCTCTAGGATTGACCGGTTTGAACACCTTGCTGTCAATAAGCCTTTGACCCATTTAGTTTATATCAAGGGTAGGAAACAAAATAGGAACATTCCATCCAGAAAGCAAAATAAACTATACGGCTGGATAAACAGTGCCATCCCGATGAAAGAGGAGGAGATTATTTCAGTTGTGAGAAAGTGTTCCAAATTCCAGGGGGGAGGTAAAGTCTACCTGGGAGTGAAGCCATTTGCTGCAGTATCACAATTATTTTCAATCAGGAGCAGATGGGCTTGAATTTGTTACAAAGCCTATTTCGTCATTTTTAACTAAGCACATACTACTCTTTCTTCAATCAAAATGGAGCTTAATTTCAAAGAACACCTCTGCCTCTCAATAGGATCATTTAAAAGTGCTCGGAAGCAGGTAAGTAAACTAAAGGCCTGCCATAGCACAGCTGAAATACAAATTCTGCATTTAGAAATAACAATAATTACTTACCATGCCACCTATACCTGGAGTTAGTTGAAGTCCACGCCCCACAGACTGTCTCCGAGCCGTTTGTATCCTCTGTATAGCCAAGACAATTTTTAAAAACCCTTCAGTGACTTTAGTGGAAAATACCAGTTTTTTTTTTTTAAAAAAAATAGGATTGGGTAGATTGTTCTTTTTGAGACGGATTGGACTCTTACATTGTGATTTGGTTGTTTGTTAATGATGATTTATAGTTCAATGTTATGTTGGTTATTGCTCTTCCAAGAAATGACAGGATGCAAATATGAAATAAGCCACTATCAGTTCTGCAAATGCTTATTCTTAAATCAATTTGCCTGCTGATGTGCTATTTAAAAATGCAGCTTTGCACTTGACTATAAATGCTAAATGAATTTCCTCAGAACACATTCACAACAAAGGCACTTCAAAATATATTTCTGCTTAAAATAAGCCTGTGTAGGCATTTTAAGAATTTCTTTTTTTGGTGGGGAGGAATGCAATATCCAGATGATCTAAAAGATAAAACTCTACCACATTCAAACTCTAATCCAGAAAATCGAGATCAATTTGGTTCACCTTAAAATCGCATTCTAGAACATCCTGCCTTGAAAAGATCTACTTTATTGAAACTGGCCCCTGCTGACTCTTTCAAATTGTACTGCGCAAAATAAATAAGCAATAGATGCACCACACCATTTAATGGGAAAGGAAGCAAGGGGAGAAGTGTGCTCTGTTTCTCCTTTTTCCTTAAATAATACCATTCCTTTTGGGGATGCTGACGCATTTAGGAAAGACAACATGAGGGCATCGAGCAAAAGTCCACAGAGATGTATTTTGGGTAGCCCACTGGCACTAAGACAATTTAAAATTGAAAACTTAACTTAATGGGTTTTGTGTTGGGGAAGGGGAATATCCCTTCAGTACACAAATCATTGGCAGGCCAGAACCCTAGACATCAAAGGCAATCTTTGGTCCTCAAAAGAACATTTGGAGAGCTACAGACTGCCCATTTCTGCTCATAACAGTTTGCTTACTTGCTTAACGAGTCTAACTGGACACAGTAGGATTTCCTTCTGAATTGGGCTACATAGGACTGCATTGTACCACTAGGAAATGATCTCAAATATCACATTGCTATAAAGAATACCGAGTAATTTGTTTTTTTATCTTCCAGTTAAATTAAAAACTCTATCCTGACATAGGGATCTATCTATTTACAAGAATCTATTTATCTTACACTAACATAAAGAAAAATATCTAAATAGCTCAACATTCACGTTGAACATGTTTCGGACAGATATGAATCACTCACGTGGTAATCCATTATCTAAATTATGCCCCCACTGGATAAATATGCAGAAGTAATATTCTTCTTTGATAATTCAGATTTTATTTTTAAAAGGGCTAGAATTCCAAAATATGTGCTAAGTGCTACAATCCTGAATATTTTTGTTGGACTTTTTGTCCAAATATCCTGCAATATTGTAGAGAAAAATAAAAACTTGTCCTGCTATGGCAATTCATGATTTATCCAAGAGATATTTGTATTTTGCCGATACAAATAAATAAAGCAATGAGCAACCATTCAAAGGCACGTGAGCAAGAACATTTCCCTGTGGCTTTTCCCCTGTGGTTCTCGTACCTGGACTGGTGGTCCCAGTTCCTGGGGTGGAGCAGGAATAGCATGGATAGTTAATCGTGGAGGTAAGGGATGAGGTCGAGGTGGACGGGGAACTTGTCTCTCAGAAGCAGATGTGGGCTGCTGTTCCCTTGGGCTTTCCTGAGAGAACGTAGACTCTACAGTACCTGTGCTCCCATCGCCTGATGATATAGAAACAAATAATTACAAAGGCACACATTTGTAACTCCAAATCATTTCATGCTTCCCAAAATATGCTCTATTATGTTTTCTGGAACGAATATTTCTATATATCACCACCACCACCAACAAAAAAACGTCAAGCTAACAAAACAAGGACATTTTGTTGTGGCAGAGAGATGTAATTTTAAACTTTCAGAAATTTCAAAGCGTCTTTGCTTAGCTGAGAAAAGAAACTAGATGTTCTTCCAGCAAAAAGAATCAGAAGCAATGAGCAAAAAAACAAACAAAAAAACCCCCCAAAACAAAATACCAAGCTTTAAAATGATTTCAATGATTTAAAACCATTTATACACATATTTCTAAAATCAAGGGCATAAAACACAGATACTGCTTAGTGAATAACCTGCCCAAAAAGATTTGCTTCCTTTAAACAAGCATATACTATTACAGAAAACATCCAGTTAATTGTACCACAGTTCTGGGAGTCAGCTGCCCTCTGGCTATTTTCACCTCCAGCAATACTCTCTTCAGTTTCTGTACTGGGATCCATTCCATCAGCAGCCTGAAATAAGGAAAAGGGGGAATATCAGGAATTAGCTGTTAATACCAACAGGGGTGGAGAGGGGAAAAAAAAGAAGTTAAAGTAGATTTGCATCTAAAAGATTATTTTTTAAAATCATTAATTTTATCCAGATTAGGAACAAATAATATTCATACCTCAGCATCATCTGCTTCATATCCATCGTTACCATCCACGCTGCCAGTGCTTTCATTGCTATCCTCGCCTTCGTCCCCCATTCCTGTGTCTTCATCATCATCGTCGTCATCCTCATCTTCTTCATCTTCATATTCCTAAAAAAAAGATGGTTTTCTCTAAGTATGCTGAACTCTGCAGAAAGGGATGAAGTAATGGTCTTTGGGATGGATCTTCCTTTGAGAATTAAAAGGTGTGATATTTCAATCAATAAAATGCTATTGTCACAAAAGGCAGAAAAAGACATAAAAATGAAAACAGGACTGCATTCTTGGATAAATGTCTGAAATTATTCCTAGCAGCCCTAGCTGTTGGAAATACAACCCTCAATTCAGAATTTATGTAACTTTTAAAAATAAAATGATAATGCATTTTAAATTAGTAAAATACATACTTTTTATTGACTAATAGAACCAAGCACATCCTCGTTCTTGGTATTTATTCTGAAAATTAGACTGCAAAAAGCCACAACCGATACAATAATACTCAATCAGAGCCAATACATAGAAACTGAGGAGTCATCATAGGAATTTTGGGGATGCTAAATAGTTTCTTCTTCACTCTCAGGCACATCTTTCTTATATAAATAAAAATGTAAATGTTCGTTTGTTCAAAATCTTAAATCTCCGAAAGTTCTTCACCGATTGCTTTGAAATTTTGACACAACGTTGCACTGGAATACGCGCGTGTTTTTATATACCTACTATTATATAGATGTCACACCTGTGACAGGTAAAAACATGCTTTTTTTGAAAAACAGCGCCATCTGTTGGCTGAGTGAACGAGAGCCACAGCAACGCGTGGCCGGGTACTAAATAAGAAAATAAATACAGTAGGCATTACTTCTGCTTCACCATCATTTTCCTCATCGTCATCCTCTTCATCATCACTGTCAATGACAATGACATCATCTCTCTTGCCCTGACACTCTTGGGATGAGGTTGTATTCTGCTGATCTGATTGAAGAGGTCCAAGGTCTATAGGGAGGGACTGAGAAGTTTCCTCGCTATCCTCCATAGGTGTATACTCGCCCTGCGTGACACCCTTCAAATAAAGAGGACGACAATAATGGTCAGCGGAATTAAAACAAATGCTATTAACAACCATCCTCACAACTTTCTTTTTTCCCCTCTTTCACAAAACTGGATACAAATGAAAGAAAGTTCTTCGTGGGGCTAAAACCTTCGCTAGCTCAGTTTTAAAGGCTGTAGCAAATAGGAAACTGGGGTTTATAATGCTAAGCTTTAATCTGCCCCAAGGAAGAAGCCATGCTTTGATTTTGAGCAACAAGCTAGTAATAAATGGGACTCTGCATTACAAACTCTGCCCCTTTTGAATGTGACATCACAGTGGAGGTAGGAAAGGGGTGGGGCTTCCACTGCAACACGGCTGACCCCCTTCCCTTGTCCTCTTCTCCCCATGGACACTAGTGTGGTTCCTTGATTTTGAACCCTATATGTTAAATGAAAACTATTGTGTGAAACTTTAAGAATTAACATGACTCAAAATGCGAAGCACCCTGAAGTCATGTCATCAACCCTTTCAGAACATCTGTCTTCAGAGGACATCCCCTGAATTGACATCTATTTAAGTGGAATTAACGACTGCAAAGACCTCCTAGTCCCTCCTAATCACTGAGTGGAGCTATATAACTGCTAGTTTAAGCAGGAAGGTAGTAAGAAATCAGGTATGCATGCCAGGAAGATAGCAATGCAAAGAAAAGCTTCCTCGGAGAAAGAAAGGATGGAACATTTGCACAAACTCATAGAAATAAGATACAGGAAGTCTAAATTAGTAGGCATGACTTATTTATTTATTTATTTATTTATTTATTTATTTTTAAGACTTATATGCCGCCCTTCTCCCCACGGGACTCAGGGCGGCTCACAGCATATTAAAACAACATAGTACATTTCCCCAATAAAAGCCAATTAAAAACCAAATATTTGTAGCTGTGTCTCTTATTAAAATCATTAAAAATTATCCCTATTTAAAATTCACCCT